TTTATCAGTATGTATATACAGAAGTTAATTAGATGTGAGTAATCAATATATATGCAAGGTATATGCGATGTAGACTATGCAGTATAGACAACGTTTAATTTGTCTCTTTATAACATTGTGCAGATTTCTGTATGTATTTTATGTTACTATCTAGAGTGATAATCCCTTCATGCTAGTATGGATTACAACTGATTTACGGTAATTGCGGTTTCATTGCATTATTCCTATGCCTACCCACTGTTTAAGCATCAGCATTGTTACCTGCATGTTCTAGTTTGTACTTGGCTTTAACGTTGACTAAACTTGGCAGTAACGCGATCAAATCCACTAGCTGCATATTACGAGTCTGAACTGAAGTGCCATTTAGTTTCATCCCATACCGGTATGAAGGGATTACCACGATGGACTGTAACATACGTAGGAAGAGTACCGGCGTCTCTATATGCACAAATATACACTGGTATATGTGTATGAAATACTTAAAATATAGTTCTGCCGGTTTGGATGGAGTATATATTGTCATATGTACAGTTTTATGTATCACGTACACTGTAAATCTTGCCTTTCCTACCTTTGCATGTTAACCTTGGACTAAGCTGAAGGCGAACATTCGGACGCTTTAATCGTTTGACATGAAATGCCAGCGGCAGATGTTAAATTTCAAATGGACAGACTGCGTTACACATTGAAGTAGCCAGAATTGGCTCGTTTCAAGTCGAAGCGAATTACATCAAAAGAAATATAGCGCTGGTCTAAGCCTTTAGCTTGTCGGCGTGTAGCTTTAGATGTCGGCGACCCCTTGGCCGTCCGTGAAATAGTCGAATACAGTTTTTGCCAGTATGGTCGCGATCTAGTTGCGAACTTCACTCTGTATAATGATTTGTCTCACATTGTGGGGTGATTAATTTGATTTGAAATTAATTTCGTCATTCTCTCCGCCTTAACCTAAGCCTATGCATCGATCTACATTTGAACTTACAGGATACAGTGCCAGAGGCCACAGGTTTAAAACGTCCCCATGTGTAGGTCTGATAGTTTTTATGCGAAAATGCAGACCTCATTTATTCTGCGTAAGCTAATTTCGTTGATGGGACACTTTAAAGTCTCCGGATTTCGTTTTCAGCTGTTTGTTCGATTATAATTTAATTTTATCTTTAGGGTCTTCAGGATGAAAGTACTTTCGTTAGTAAAAGTTTGTGCATGCAGAATGATCGTACACCTATGTCAAGGTCCTTAGATTTTAGGTTGTATAAATTTCAGCTATGACGAAACTTAATAGTGGGCGTATTGGGATTCCTTTCTATTATTGATATGATTAATATCAAAATACCCTGTTAATGCGATAACATACTAAGGCAGCGACAAATGAAACCAGTGTAACGTGTAGAGAAGGTCGCTGCGGAGTGTAGTGTTCCATATGTTCAGTCTGTATGAAGCTAGCTAGCTACGACTGGCTAGCTTTGGAAATCGAACGTTATGTTAGTTCCAGTACGCAATCTCGCGTAAAAAATTTCGTTCATGTTCGTTGTTATGTAACGCAGGGCAACAATGTGCAGGCGAAGGGAGTCATCTGACTCGACAGCCGCCTACACTTCAACAAGTAAGTTTTTGTCTCCGTCCGTAGCTTGCCTAATCGTGGAAATGCTCTTTATCTGAAACGCCAGCAAGTCTTTGATCAGTCAACTATCCTTGTGACTGTAACGGAAGATTCAATGGGCATGCCCAATTTTATGAACTAATTAATTACTCCCGGATATCGTCTGTGCAGCTATCAAAACTGCCATTCAGAAATAAATGCGTTGATAAGTCTTCTTTATCAGCTCCGTTATATTTTGGGCAGGATTCAGGTTTTAGTAACAGATATGTCCGTAGCGGTGTAACTTCGTCGATTATCTAGATCTTCATTGGACCTATGTTTTCCAATCTGTTGGAAGAATTAAGCCTCAGAACGTACTGAAATATTAAAACACTTACAACAATGATCAGTAATTCTCTCCAATAAATTTATACAGTAAAAAGCGTATACAGATCATTTTATCACAACATCTTACAAAAGAAAAACAGGCAGAAAGATAAAATTACTAGTTGTTCGAAAGCTGCAACGAAATCGCACGTCCTGGAATCATAAAAACATCGACGGTTCATTAATTCAGTTTATAATCCGCATGAAAAAAATCT